ATATCCAGAATCTTATTGGTTATTGCCATCACCTCCTCCCATCATCCTCTCTTACCTGGATTATAGTAATAGTTTCCAAATGGGTCTTGCTTCTACCTTTGACCCTTTAAAAGCCATTCTCAGTAGAATCAGCAACCAGAATGATCTCTAGAACTACTTCGCTCCTCTGCTCAAAACCCTCTAATGGCTTCCTACTTCACTTGAGGAAAATTCAGTGATCCACATCAAAGACCCACAAGGTCTTACAAGATCTATCCCTACTCTTCACACACACACACACACACACACACACACACATGCATCTGACCACTCCTACTCTCTCTCTAACTTCACCCCTTTATTTTCTCCATACCCAGCTCTGGTTCACCAGATCCAGCCACATTGGACTTGGCATTTGTCCTGAGAGCAGTGGGGAGCCCTGGAGGGCAGGAGCTTATAAACCATCCTTCTGTCTTCTCTGCCTATAAAGTGAGACAATATATAGAAGGTTAATATCACAGATCTGCATATCCTATGGGTATTGGGTCCTTCCATTATACAATTGTTGTTACTGATCTTGTTGACCTAGAAGGATACAAAGGATCCCTCAGGATCCAAGGTGATTTTACTGGAGACCCCTTTCTTATTTTTCTTTTTGTGATGAAAAATTAAAAGCAGAAAATTTCAGAGACTTGAAACTTTTAGTATTTTTATAAGAAAAAAATAGATTCTAAATTTTTTATTACACAAGTATTATACAAACATTAAAATTTGAAAAGAGAAAAAGAAAAAAGGAAAAGAAAGAGGAAGAAAGGAAGGAAGGCGATCACACCATGGTCCTGCTACATAAAACAATTCTTATTAACACTTCAGTAGGCTTCTTACAGACTAGAAAGTCTAAGTGCTCTAAAGAGAGTATTTCCTGGCTCGGCGCCTGTGGCTCAAGGGCCAAGGCACCAGCCACATACACCTAAGGTGGCGAGTTCGAAGCCCGGGCCCGCCAAAAACAATGATGGCTGCAACCAAAAAATGGCCGGGCGTTGTGGCGGGCGCCTGTAGTCCCAGCTATGTGGGAGGCTGAGGCAGGAGACTTGCTTGAGCCCAGGAGTTGGAGGTTGCTATGAGCTGTGATGCCATAACACTCTACCCAGGGGGATAGCTTGAGGCTCCGACTCAAAAAAAAAAAAAGAGAGAGTATTTCCTATCATTTGCAGCATTCCCCCCCAGGGGAGAGAGGTACGGGGACTTCTTCAAAATCCTGACTTCAGGCACACACCACACCGTGCCCTAGCTGAGCTCACTTCTTGTCCAGAGTTTTAGAAAAACACCCTGGGGTTTGCTCAGCAGCGTGGGGCCTTTCTGATATTTCACTGAAGTAACTTATGACTGGGTTTGTCTTGGCTATGAGGCTGGTTTTAAAAGATAGTCTGGATTCTTCTCTCAACAGATAACAAATAAATTTAATTGCAAGTATGTCCAGCAGTTATAATGAATGTGTGATAAAATATAAACGGGCCGCCGCCCACAAATAGAAATAAATTCTCTTGACTGAAATGAACATACAAGCTTTTTCTTCACCTCACCAGAACGCTTTATTAAATTACATCATGATGGAATTCTACAGATATCTGTTTGTTTTTTAAAGAATGATGTACCCTTTATCTATTTGCTGTTATGTTTTATTAAGTTTGATTGTGACTACCAAAAAAGTTGTAATTGTATTTGGAGATGGTCAGTTTCATTTTAACAAATGTTTAAAAATTGTTACTTATTATTGGTAATAAAAACACACCTTTAGGTTACAATTTAGCACACAAAAATTAGTTAATTTGCTAAAACGTAATTTAGAAATATAAAAATAAACAGTAAATGGAACTTTCGAAATGGTGACTCTTTGATATATTTCAATTATAGCTGATTCAGATTATTTTTAGAATGCAAGAGGCAGGCATTAAATTAATAATGTAAAATAGTTCCAATTGTTTCAATGCTTGAAAGCTTTCTGACCATAAAATTTGAAGTCACTTACTAATAATTATTTTAGTCTTTTTTTTAAAGGGATAACTTAATCTTTTCACTATTGATCAAGTAAAAGTATCAATGCACCATTTCCTAAACATGATTTATTGTTATGAGATTGGCAGATTTCCAGAATTTCACTATTAATTATACTGACTTGCCATTTCTTGAGCACAGCAGAGTAAATCCTGGATAAATTCATCCAAAATTGGTTTGAATAATGTATACAAATTCTTTAGTTATTTAGAACTAGAGAAAAATTATATTAACTTCTCAGATACATTATTATGGAATACCAGGTCTTATAAATAACTTTTTAAAAATGTTTAAGTGATTCTCTACGGTTATAACTGTATAGAAAGCTATGTTGTAACTTCCTTCAGAAAGCAATAATACCAACAAAAGAGATAAATATCACATCAGGTTAATTACGGTTTAGAAAGCATCCATGTTTCTCAGTCATTGATTTCTTCTGCTTTAGTCTGCTTGGGCTGCTATAACACAAACCACAGATTGGTGACTTAAACAACAGATATTTATGCTCATAGTTGTGCTGGCTGGGAAGCAGGAGACCAGAGAGTCAGCACAGCCAGATTCTAGGTTGCCAACAGGAGCTTCTTGCTTCATTTTAACAGAAATAGAGAGCAGACAAGCTCCCTGGTCTCTTCTTACCAAGGTAACTAATCCCATCATGGAGTACCACACAATCTCAGCCTCTTCTAAACCTAATTATCTCCCAAAGACACCCCCATCACCAAATACCAGCACACTGGGAGTTAGAGTTTTGACTTATGAATTTTGGGAAGATACAATTTAGTCCACAGCATTCTGCTCCTGGTCCCCCAGAATTCATGCCCTTCTTACAGTCAAAATGCATACATTCCATCCCAATAGCCCCCAGAGTCTTAACTCAGTGCCTCATCATTTCCAGAGAACTATCATCTAAATTAGGTTTGGGTGAGAGTTGAGGTGCAATTCATCCTGAGACAAACTTCCTCTCCAGCTGGAAACTTGTGATGCCAGACAAGTTATCTGATCTGGTTCCCAAATACAGTGCCAAGACAGGGATGAGACAGACATTCTCATTCCAAAAGAAAGAAGCAGAAAACAAGGAAGGGGTGATTGGTCCCAAGCAAGTCCAAAACCTAGCAGGGCCAAGTTCATAGCTGGAGAATTTTTCTCTTTGGTTAGATGCTCTGCTCCCCCAGACTCACTGGGGTGGCAACGTCATCCCACAGCTCAGGAGACACCGCCCACACCAAGGCTTTCTGCAGTGCCCAGCTCTTGAGTGGCCTGGCCAGTGATGGATGACATCTTGACATGTAGCCCCACCCTTTGAAAACCAAGAGGTGCTAACCCTGTCCCCTGGGACTGTGGTGGGAGTGGCAGAACTTCCTTAGGAGTCATTTTTCCCTTTTCTTAGGACCTGCACGTGGTCTCCATAACAACTAATTTATATTAAATTATTTTTCTTAAATTTCATTTCCATTTTTTATTTTCTCATTTCATCTTTATAACCTATTTGG